AACAGCACTTGCCCCTACAGTCTGTTAAGGCTATACGGGGGGTCTTTGTCTTTGCATGCTAATACAGGTGTCTGTGCGTGCGTTCGCGACAAACATCCATAACAAAGCTTTTTTGGGTTCGATCGCGGAAAATAAATGTGCTCTTAAACCTGCCAGCCCCCGACACAGCCAATTAGTAAGGTTTGTCACGAAAACAAAACATGCTAATTCGTTACTAATACAGCACACTGGTGTGTTGGCGAGTAAATCCACAACATTGACAAATCGAGTACGACGTTTCGCCAGCAATTGCAACTAGCATCATCAGGCGACAGCCAGATTTGTGGAGAAATCCTCCTCCTGTGTTAAACCCACTTGTAAGAATATGGGTGTGTGGGGAGCAGGGGCACAATGGTTAGCGCAGTGCGTACAAAGCCGATGACCTGGGTTCGATTCCCGCTCACGGCCAACACCAGTGAAGATATCTGAACCGGTCCCGGGTCTTCCCTAGGTCTACTCAGCCTCAAGTAAGTACCTGGTGCGGTGTGTAAACATCGCTACAAGACAGACAAAGGCGGCCGGGCGTGGTGTTAGCCACCCGCCTCCTCGTGTGCCGTGCCGGCTTTCATATGTGCTGCTCGCTAACAGCACTTGCCCCTAAAGTCCGTTAAGCCTATACAGGGGAACTTTGTCTTTGTATGTCCGTGGTAAACCTCGCACAAGCCCAATTAGATGTGGAATTGCTTGGGAGTGTGGGACTGCACGTGTCTAGTCGTACGAAGAGACCGAACGTGACGTGGACTCGTCCAGGGTCTTGTACCTCGAGGGCTGAAGGGTTGCTGCGTAGATTTTGAAATACCCCAAAGCCCCTTGTATGAATGATCCAGAGTGGACAGGTGGCCTACAGGCCAGATGTCCTCAAAGCGGGCCCTGTCCGAGCCATGGCCCGTTGTTGGAGTGATACGGCTCCCCGTGGCGCAAATAGATACAGATTAATGAGATAAAATGGAGTTGGATAATGCATACTTCGTAGGAGACTTCGGGTGACAAGGGGTCACAGATTAGTCGTTAAAATGCCAATACGTTCTGACATTCATCTTGCACACGTGTTGTCATGTTTGTAAACGTGACACTCTACGACGTCACCCGCAGGAAAATATCGTTGAATTACCCTTCCCTCTAAAGTGCACACAGTAGGCCTTACACGCACGTGTGGTGTTAGGTTCCACCCGGTCACATCCCCTACGTTGGACTGATGTGCGCCGCGCCGAGCCGAGCACCTGTGTTTTCATCAACAACAATGCACGTGTCCCGACACGACACGGGGCGTGAATGTGCAGAAGCCCCCGAGTCAGAAGAACACTTCCCCACCCTTGAACATTCCGCGCGGTGTTCTGCAGCGCCCCTTGCATGTGCGATTGCGTGTTGCTCTTCTGACCTGATGACCCCATCGGCATCATCGTCTTCACCACCATCACCAGTCGATTATAATCTGTAATTGATTAATCCACTTAATCGATCCGGTTGATGTACGTGCACTGTGATTGGCTCTTTCACACCGGCGAATTGCAGCGCAGCGTGACGCGTGCCAAGTCGGAAATTGAATTCGCCGCTGAAAGGCAACTGACCAATGTCTGTCTGTGTGCTTATTGAGGTTAATAACCAGGGGAGACTTGCTCCATTGTATTTTCAGGCCGTGTCCGTCCAGATCTTTCCCAGTATTTTTTTTTTCAGGGCCCGAATGATGTTTTTTGTTATATAAAGAATGGAGGGCAAACCAAGAGGCTAAATCACCCAGGAGGAATTTGGGGGCGGGGGGCGGTGAAGGTGAAATGAGGGGGGGCGGAAATGGAGTACGTGTACACACTCATAATTGGGATACGATCAAGATCAAAAATTCACACTAAATATTTTGACGTAAGACACTACCACTAAAGTACAGGGTACGCATACCCTTTAGAATCAGACTATTGTACCCTATATTTAGATACTGTACTGACCTTCAGAATATCTGCACTATTCACGCATATATGTTGCACACCACAATAGCTTGGGGCGCCACGGTGGCGATATGTTAACTACCTCGCCTGGTGTACAGGAGGCCGTGGGTTATTTTTGGGAGTTATTTAATGTTATCCCCGTGGTCGCGTTGGTTTTTCTCGGGGTCCTCCGGCTCTTCCCTCCACATTAATAAACACGCGTTTAGAGTATTTGGCTGCGAAACATTTCTACATGATAAGCCACTTCGGTGAGCTGTCATTTGTGGCCAGGTCGCTTCTTAAAAGGAGCTATATGGCTCAGTGGGCTTCACTTGGTAAAAATAAAGAGTACTCTTTGGTTCTTTCGGTACAGTCACGTAGGTATAAAATAAAATGAATCACGACGTTTCGGGCGCAACACAAGCGTCCGTCATCAGGTGGGAAAGCATGGCCTGCTGCTGAGGCAAACTGTTTTCAAATCAAGATAAAAAAATAAATAGCTTTAGTATCATGAGGACGAGTGAAGGCAAAATGGATGTGGCATGCCAAATCATTTATTTATGGAACATCGTTCCAGATTTTTCCGGCTGAAATTAAACACTTGTTGCAATAGACGCAGTGACATATATCAATTGAGTCGCGTCACTTGGGGATTTCCAGCGCGTAGGAATTTAGCAGTAGGCATCCGCAGGGGACACGAGAAGCGCCAATTGAGACAATCGACACCGTGATGGGGTGCAGCTCAGGACTCGTGTGACCCGCGTGTGTGACCCCAGCGAGCCGCGTGACGTGCGCCTGTGGTGCGGCTCGTAGTCGTCACTGGGGAGACAAAGGCGGCCCGGCGGGGTGCTGGCTACCCCACCCCCTCCGTGTGCCGTGTCGGCCTTCATAGGTCCTCGCTCACAGCACTTGCTCCAACGGTCTGCTTAAGGCTATACGGGGGACCTTTGTCTTTGCTGTGGGCATTACGTGCGCGTGACGTCTGTACGTTCGCGTGTGAAGGGGCCGAATTGTGAGGCTTGTGACGTTAAAGCCCCAAGAAAGATAACGATGCCCCGTATATAATACAGATACTACTGGGGGAAGTGCTGTCAGCGAGCACCTATTAAGACCGAAACGGCGGACGAGAGGATGTGGTTCGGAGGGCACCACGCCCAACCACCTTTGTCTCCTCGGGGCTGATGTTTAAATAACGCACCGTTTACTAATGTTAAGGCTGTGTCAACGCAGAGGAGACCCAGGGTCGGTTCAGATGTAACTCGCCACTGATGTTAGCCGTGCCCGCGAATCGAACCCGGTTTGCCGGGTTCTTAGCGTCTCTCTCTCTCACACACCCCTCTCTAGACATTTTCGTACACAGTTATACGCTCCTGTGTCGTCCTCTAGTGGCTAACGAAGGCTCATTGCGGCTCTACTGGAGTAAGGGCCACAGTGCGTTTTTTAAAGACTAAATTCGAGACTGAACCTTTATGTTTGGGAGATGCAATTCAAAGTTTTGGGATTGTCTTAATACACTCTATAATAAGTATAAGCACATACAACCTAGCTACATGCCAAATGTAAAGTTTCTAGACCTTTGAGTTGTTTTTTTGGGATAAGGGTGTCATTTCAGAGCAAAATTTGTCACATTTTGGATTTCAGTTTTTAAAGTAGGATGGATGTAACCTTTGGATTGAGCACTCTTCAATATATCCAGATTGCCATTTCTTTCTAGGCCTACGTTCAAACACGAACGAGTTCAAATAAATTGTCGTTCTAGCACTGTTACATAATTAATTGACCAAGGTACTCCTAACATCAACATTATTTCGTAAGGAGCCGTCCATAAATGACGTCACGCGATTTTGGACGATTTTTGACCCCCCCTCGTCACACGGCGTCACAAAAGTCAGACCCCCCCCTCAAATATGACGTCACAAAGCTCTGCCCCCCCCCCAAAAAAACATGCTTCAAATCGCTTTAAACTATTGTCATTGTAGTGCGTATTTAATGTGGCGCTGCACTCTGATGTTGTAGGATAAAACATTTATTAAAAAGTCTATTTAATTAAGTAGAACGCGTTGTCTATATTTATTTAAAGTTGCGCATTTTGATGTGACGTCAAATTTATCAATCCCCCCCCCCCCCTCGTCACAAATCGTCACAAATGTCTGACCCCCCCCCCCCCTAGGTGCGTGACGTCATTTATGGACGGTCCCTAACTCTATTCACATTTGTTTACATTGTTTATAATGTACGCAAAACGTGTTACGCTCCGCCCAAGGCAACATGGCGCGTCTCATTTGCATACCGTTGTGACGTCACGCGCCACCTCCACGTGCTCACGGCACGATGGAAACTCTCCGCGCTTTCCCGTCACAGAACGTGTCTCCTGCCGTATCACGTGCCCTGGTCAGTTCTCCGTTTAACAAAAGCTCCTTAGTAGTACGCTGGTCGGGAATGAATCCCCATACATCCAATGGTAAAAAGTCCCCTTTTAGCGCCGAGTCAAATTTACCGCTCAGGGGCCGCCCATAAATGACGTCACGCACCTGGGGGGGGGGGGTGAGCATTGTTTTGTCTAATTTGTTTGTTTCGATTTAAAGCTTTCGTGACTGCAGGGATTCATCTTCTTGGTTCTTTCGGTAAAGTCACGTATAATTCTCACGACGTTTCGTCGTGAGAATTATTTTATCATGTTTTATTTTTATTATTTTATTACTTCCCTTCTACGTGACTTTACCGAAAGAACCAATAAGATAAATTGTTTGTGTTTCTCCCTTGTGGTGGAACTTTGTAGGATGAACGTTGAGATGTATAAGGGCTCGGGGTGACCAATAAGGTCTGAATTGATCTGTAATAAGAAAGGGCACTGATAACGAGTTGACAGCTATGTTAACAATCACATTTGTTGATTCCTCCGATAATGAAAACAACCATCAGCCTCCCTTCCTCGCGACGTCTCCGTTGCACAGAACTACTCCGATGACGTCATCAGAACCAAAGGCTGCGAAATACCGTCATCAACAACAGCGACATGACGTCACCGCCGAAGGTCTTTGGCAGAGTGACGTCACTTCTGCCCATGGCAGCAGCAGCCGCCACCGCAGCGGCCTGCGCGCTCCTCGGCTCGCGGTTGGCGCCGGGGCTCGGCTGGCCGCGCCTGCCGCGCGCCCTCGCCCCGCGCCCGCGGCACGCGCAGGCAAGGCCCGGGGGCTCGCGGCTCGCGGATGCGGCCCGCGCCTTCAGAGCGTCCACGCGTGAGTTGATTTATCTACGCGGAGCGGTTGTCGACTCCGATGCTGGCTGGATGAGGGGGCCCAAGGCGTTTGACCATACTTCACCTTTCCCCGGGGCATAGCGAAGGGGGTTTTCTGTGCTGCCCTCTGCTGCCCACCGAGTGAGGGCTCCGCAAGTAGCCGCGTGTGTTGATCCGTCGTGGTTCAGAGTGATCGCGAGAGTCGTGGGGGAACACAAATGTGGCCACATCAGCAGCCTGGTGAAGATACTGTGTGTCAACACCGCTTGTTCTGAATCGATACCGATTTGAAATTGTGCACTGTGCTCCCAGAAAGGCCTGTCCGGCTCGTAGGTTATGTAAATAAATGTATTTGTACGTGGATAGACGGAGACAGTTTATATTCTAACTTATTTTATTATTATGCTGATCGGTGGTCACACACCACACCAACTATCCCCAGGCTCAATCGTGCTTTAGCTTCTGCGCTCTTACGGCCTCGTCATAGGAATGTCGAATTGCCAGTAGCTGGCTCAGAGGCGCCAGGTGAGATGAGTAGTAGTAGTATTATTATTGTTCTCACCCAGAAGCTCGTGACCAAATCACCTGGAATGCGACCGATCCCGTCAGATCTCAGAAGCTCAGGGGAATGGGTACTGTATAAGACCTCCGTTGACCGATCACCGTGTACGCCGCCAGGCTTGTGGCGGGATATATGTTGTGGGCAGCAGAGGGCAGTGCTGCTACATCCATGCCCTGTTGTTGAATAACTTATTCTTAGGTTTTTTCGGTAAAGTCACGTAGGTAAAACATCAAAATTATTTTATTTTAATTAATTTTGATGTTTTACCTACGTGACTTTACCGAAAAAACCTAAGAATATGAATCCTTGCAGTCACGAAAGCTTCAAATCTAGAGTTGAATACCTTGTTCACAGCGTCTATGCTATGCTTGCAGGCACCTTCAACCTGTACTGAGGCGAGTGTTGATGTGTGGTCAAGTCACCTCACGTCCTGCACGGCGTGGGGAGACCCTCATCCTGCAGTAGAATAACACAACAGATCGGGCGTGTATAGTGTTACCCGTGGACCTGTGGATAATAGGGTGGCACTTGACATTCAAGTTTGTCTTTTTTTCAAGGTCACGCCTTGTGGTTTTATTTATTTGTTGAACTGAAACGCTGCAAGTTTAAAGACATCCCCTCAATATCGAATAGCTGCTCAACGGAGTTGGAAAATGCATCGCAGTAAATGCATATATAGTCAGAGTAGCGGCATATATGCATAGAAGATAAGTAGATTCCTGAACAACCTGTAAATATTAACAGATTTGAATTACATTTTCAGAAGTTGACTTTTACACCAAAAGTAACATTGAGAGGGTGTAATCCAAGCAAATTAAAACTTCACTTTTTTATTTGCATATTGAGTTGTCACTAACGAATATCAGTATGGTATTACCTCTCGTAATTTCAACAATGGCATATTAAAGGAAGTAACTGTGAGATGTGATGGCATCAATTTCTTGCCCGTGATGACCCTTTGGCCGTGACCTGTGCTACCTCTTCCTGCACAATGAGTATGTTGCATATGTTGCTGTTTCTGCTCCCATCTCAGGAAACAATGGCGGGGAGTACGAATGGAAAGACCCCGATTCACCACTCGACATGTAAGCATTAACGTCCTTGTGTGTGTGTCAACCAAAATGAGTTCTCAGAGAAAGAGAGACAGAGTCCAAGGTGCTGAACCCAGGATCTCAGTGATGCTTGCTCATTGTCGATGACATGCCATGGCCAGTTGGAGCGTCCTGAGAGAGAGAAGCCGATGACCAAATCACCGAATGGGAAGCTAAGCAGGTTGAGTCAAGCTAGAGCTTGGTTGGGCAGCATCATACATAGGCTGCTTACCCGAGCAATGTCAACACAGGGCCATGCAGAAAAGTACTGTACCATGCCTCAACGTCTGTGCACCTCGTCTTCACCAACTGGCACTGACTAGCATGGTGAGAAGTATGGTCAAATAACCCCTATAATGTTCACGGCATGGGGAGACCCTCTACCACCAATGAATTGACATTAAAGAGAAACCCAGTCACTCAGTCCTTCACCCCAGGGATGTTTGAGCGTATTGCTAGTGATGTTGGTGTTGAACTTGTAGCACAGTTTATCTGCTCCGGCTGAACTTCATATTTGGGAATATTATGGTCGGAGAGATTGAAAAGCCAAACCGTTCCGGAGCAAACACATAACCATCCAGATTCACATCTTGTAGAAATATCATACATCCCATTGACGATTTACCTGATAGCAATGTAGTCTTGACACATTCTTTATAAACAGCACAAATTTATGCACGTGTTTAAATATGAATTTGGCTTATACATGCACACATACAAATGCACTAAGTTACACATACATCCTGCACATACTGATAACAACTGTATGGGATATGGGATATGGGTGGTGCATCTGCTGGACATCATGGTCTGCTGAGAAATAACCGATTTCTGTCACCTGACCTGCCATTGTGCTTATTCATAGTGCACCTAGCCTGGCACATGCACAGCAGTGATGCCCACCACCGCAACGAATGGTGTCTGTAGTTGCTAATATCCATGTGTATTCGTGTGTGCAGTGTACACGTGGAGTTTGTGTCGAGAAGTGGGGAGGTGACGCGCGTGGCTGGCAAAGTTGGCGACAATGTGATGTATCTGGCCCAGAGACACGGCATCAGCATTGAGGGTGTGACGCTACAACACACACACGGACACGGACTCAGAGAAAGAGACACGGAGTGTCTGGACGTGTTTGTGCGACCCTACAACATGCACACGTGACCCAGAAAGAGTGGGGTTGTGTGTGTGACACCATAACACACACAGGACCCAGGGAGCTAAGGAGGTGGGGAATCGTGAGTGTGTGTGTGCGTTTATGGGGAGCGGCAGTGTAGCAGGTAGCGCGCAGCGCTACGAACCTGGCGACCCGAGTTCGATTCCCGCTCACGGCTTTGAACCTCGCCTAGGTCGACTTAGTCTCAAATGAGTATCTGGTGTGATGTGCAAATATCGCCACTGGAGATACAAAGGCGGCCAGGCGTGGCGCTGGCCACCAACCCCCTCGTTTACGGTTCTGGCCTTCAGAGGTACTCGCGAACAGTACTTTCCCCAATAGTCTGTTAAAAGCTATACAGGTGATCTTTGTTTTGTGTGCAACCCTACAACATTTACACTGGATACTGAGAGTGGGAGTTGATGTTAGGAAAGTGGTGGTGGAGATGGTTCACTCACTGCATTGTGGTCCCAGTGACCTGGGTTTGATTCCCAGCCATTGGTAACATCAGTGGCAAATTATATCTAAACCCGTCTTTATTTCAAACTTTAACGAGTACTTGCCGCAGTGTCTGAAAACCACCGGTGAGACGGACGGCTGGGTGTGATTTTGGTCATACCATCTCCACCCTTTGTGCATAATCACCGTGCTTGCTAACAGCACTTACCTCACCAGTCTGTTAAGGCTCCACAGAGGATCTGTGTATCATACTGCATGTTGTATGTGTGCGTGTTGATGTTCCAGGTGCCTGTGAAGCATCCCTTGCGTGCTGCACGTGTCACGTCTACGTAGACGATAAATTCTACGACATGCTTCCGAGCCCCACTGAAACGTGAGCTACGATGCCACCCCACCACCATGGTGCACGCACCCGAGACTCGGCTCGGGGGGAGACTGGGGTCTCGCGATCACAAAGCCCATTGTGTAATAATGTGTTTTCCTTAAGGGACAGAGCCCAGGTCGAGAGTTGAATATGTATGCATTTAGAAGGACAACAAACTAAACATGTCAATCATGATACATATGAATATCACGATTGACATGATGAATCGCAGAGCACGGGGATGTGGCGTCTAGTAGGTTTTCGATTGCTTCCCTCTCATGACCTGACGAATTGTCATGATTCATCGTCGTGATTTAATTGTAACAGTGGCGTTACCAATTCATCTCGGTAGCATGTGCATTGCACTCTGAATGTGGCGACCTTAGCTTTCCACCCTTGTCTGGAATCATAGGTGAGTGACATCTGAACTGGTCGCAACTCCCCTCCCCTTCAACTTGCACCGACGAGTGTGTTGCGGCATATATCGTTAAAGATTCCCCATTCATCACCATGGCATAGGAAGATCATTCAGCAGTCGATTGACAAAGAGCTGCAAATTATTAGCGTTTTGCCATTGTGGTTTTCGTGAACCTATTACAGCATGTACAACTAATTAATAATTGTGAGTGTATGTATGTTATTTATGAACGTTATGTATACAAATGAACCCCATCTCGTGGTTCCATACACTGTTTGATGTTCGTGTTGGTGATACCATTATGAGAAGAAACTCTGGCAGTTCACTGTCCTGCCAGATCTAACCCAGGCATAGCATTCACAGGGACCGCTGGTTAATGGGGGCTCTGGCTTTGTGCGCTCAGCTGGTAATTCCTGCACAGTAACAGCGCATAAAATGAGCACGTGGCAGTAACTCATGATAAGCATGTGCCAGAGTCGCCAAAAGGACGGCAACCATTATGTCATCTGACCAAACTCCTTGTTTGTGGATCCAGGGAACTTTAGCTCAGCAGATCTTACAGAAGCATCTGGCCTCACTCGCGTGGAAGAAATAACCATCACGGAAGAATAATTGGCTAATTGATCGATTGTTGCGTGCGTGTTGTTAGGTGCACACTAACAGTACATGGGGTGTGCGGTGAATGCAGGGAGGAAGATCTGCTGGACATGGCCCCGGGTCTGCGGGAGACGTCAAGGCTCAGTTGCCAGATCCTCCTACGCCGGGACCTGGAGTCCATAAAGCTCACGTTACCACGAGCCACACGGAACTTCTATGTGGACGGCCACCGTCCCACGCCTCACTGAGACATGACGTGGGATTGCACGTCATGCCTCTCTATGTGGACACAGGTCGCATGAGACACAGCCTAATGGAGATATGACTCACTGGGACACTCAGTCACGGGAACCACAGGACCCTGACATCTTGAGACACGGAGACGCAGATACACGAGGACATGTAGACATAACACAGGAAGAACGGGAGTGGATGTAAGGTTACTTGAGTATGCGGAGACACAGGGAGGCACTAGCCCCATAGCTGTCTGAGACATGTGAATCCACAGATACATGGTGAGACGAGGACATACCGGGGGGGGGGGGGGCGCACATGAGGCCACAGGGACATGAGATATGGGGCGACCGTGAGATGGAATCATGTTTGACAACCCCCCACCGAGACACAGTGACAAGAATGGATGGGGACACGTGGTGATACACAAACATTGAGAGATAGACACTGTCCCCTGGCGCACCAACATCTGGTGCCGCAGGGGCCACTGGGAGAAACATGGACAATTGGACACTGAGAGACGTGGGGGCACACGTGTACATTTAAGGAATGTTGAGACATCTGAGAAGTCATGAAAGCTTGAGATAAAATGTTAACATGTGGATACAGATGGCAGCATTGGGTTTAGCTATCAAGTGTACAGGTGGTACAATTGCACTGGGGCCTACGGACCAGGCGGGTCCAGGCGCCGGGCTACCAAGCTGGGGGGAAATTGGACGGGGCCTCATTTCATTCCTTGCACCAGGGCCGATGCCAACTCTGCTACGCCACTGGATGGCAGTGGTCGGAACGGGCTCATGATAGCCATGTTGGAGATCGGACCATCATTGTGATGGTTCTGGGTTAAAACATGTAATGTACGCGTCTTGTAAAGAACAGTATTTAATTGAATCTATGCGTTATTAAGCGTGTGTGCGTACACCTGAAATAAAAAAAAGTGAAACTCTTAAGGTTGTGAAATCTGCTTCCTGTGGTTTACCAGAGCCAAGACTGGACTTGGCTGTGGAGACAATGAGAGGCTGATAGCCTCGTCTCTTCTTCATACATATGGCTGATGTAGATGCAGAGCAACAACTACAAATTCAGATGGTCAAGCCAGATAACCGCGTGGGGAGTAGTGGAGTGTATCCCTGTGATGTCTCCTTCATATTTGGGGAGCGGTCATTGTGTCATGTATGGTATATTCTGGATGACCACAGTCGCACCCTGCTGGAGAGTTCTTCATTTTCCATTTGTGCATCAGGTATCGGCATCTGCCATGGTTTGTGCAGTGGATGCGGTTTAAGGTGGACCATGAGCTTCGTAGAAGATCAAGAACCAGGGATCTTCTACGGTGGGTCTCACAAGGTGTTTGCGAATGATTTTCAACTCCATTCAGCTCGAAGCTTCATTGGGGTTGAACTTGCATTGGAGTAGAAGATGGCAGTCTTCACGCAGCCCACTGTTAAGTGAGAAAGTCGCGACGGATGCCATCAACGCGGCGACCGAACGTCCATCATCAATCTCCTGGTCTCCAGAGCAACGACACGTGGCTGGTCTCTGTAGATAGCTGGTGTTTGCTATTAAGTAGGGAAAGCATCCTAACAGTGCTTCTTCCAAGCTGAGTGTGCAATGAGACTACGTGTTAGTGGGGAAATCTCATTGGCAGGACCGGTCACAAGTCAGACCCAGGTGTTACAGGTGACCTGCGCTCCCCATTGTGGCCAACTTCCTTATATTTAAACCAGTGCTCTGCTCATAAGCATTATGTTGCTGAAGCGTGGCTGCTTCATTCAAAAGCCTCCACAGAGGCACATTCTGACCACTGGCATCAGTGTCGTTAAGTCAACTTAGTGCCAGGTCTTCCTTGTAACCACCTGTGGCCCCATCTCTTCAAGTGCAAATGTTAATTTATAGCCGTAATTTTACCAAACAGCAGCTGCTTGGCCATGCGGCGTTTGTGCTTGCAGGCTACATGATCCAGCATGGTCCTGAATGTTTTGGGGCGTCCACGTTTTACAAACTTTGAGCATAACAGGGCATGCTTGTGTTGCTGGGGCTTAAAGTCAGAGATAGCATTTGCATCGTTGGGCAGATGATGAAAGCAAGCTGCTCAAAAGATTTGCAATGAGACTTCTGCCACCACGAAGCATGAGCTAACCATAAGCACACTGCTCTGGTGGAGGAATGATAGCACAAATGTAGGTGATTTTTTTGCGTTGGTGGTGCTGGGTGGCAAGGCTCCCACCTCTGGCAAGCAGTACGAGATACTGCGGTGCGTGATATCTCTCAAGAAATGGAATGCTCAATTCGCAGCCCAACTCCTGGGTTACCAGCGGATGCGAAAAACGCGTGTGCCGTCTCGTGCCGTCTCAACTCAGAAAACCGGTAGGCTGACGCACACACATACGTGTACTCGTGGCAAAATTGAGGCAAGTGCTGTAATATGTATATATAATTTTTTAATATATTTTAATTTATAACTCTGGGGGGGGTTCGAGACGAAGAAAGCTTTGTAGAGGTTATATCTTTTAGGAGAAGTGAAACGGGGCGTTTCCGGGAAAACTTGGGCATCAAGTCTTCTGTGGCCGGGACACGCTTGTTCCTGGATTGCAGTCGCGCACAGAGACGCACAGACACAGCCGCACAAGAACACATCGTAAAAACTGGTCAGCCGCCATTTATCCACCGCTGCAAATTCGCCAAACAATCGCCATCTCGCTGTTTTGTGATGCAACAAAGACGAAGACTCCCCTCTCTATACAGCAGCCTTCACAGACTGTTGGGGCAAGTGTTGTTAGCGAGCACCTATGAAGGCCGGCAGGGCGCACGAGGGGATCGTTAGCCAGCGCCGCGCCCGGCTGCCTCAGTCTCACCAGTGTTGATGTTTACACACCGCACCAGGTACTTTTTTAAGGCTGGGTCGACCTAGGGGAGGCCCAGGACCGGTTCAAATATTCGCCACTGTTAGCGGTTGTGAGTGGGAATCCAACTCGGGTGGCTGGGTTCGTAGTGCAGTTGGACTACAGGCCCAACGACCGGAGTTCGATTCCCAGCCACAGTCAACATCAGTGGCGAGTGACATCCAAACCGCTCCTGAGCCTTCTCCAGGTAGACGCAGCATCAAATGCATAAACTTGCGTCGTGTATAATCTTCAGCGCTGGGGAGACAAAGGCAGCCGGGCGTGGTTCTGGCCACACCACAACCTCATGCACCATGTCGTCCTTCATAGATTCCCTCTGAACAGCACTCGCCCCAGCAGTCTGTGCAGGTTTTCTGCGGCGCAAGATTCTTACCTCTCTCTACCGCCGGTCGTCTCTGAGGGAGTTCCTTTCCCGGTTTCCCCATCCCCTCCTCTTCGTCGTCGTCGCCACCTTCGTCATCGTCGGCACCGGGCTCCGGAGTTCCGTCAAAGTTCCCGGTCAGGTCGAGCACCTGTAGCTCCTCGAGTCCCATGAACATGTCCTTGACGTGTGGAGGCAAGCGGTTGTAGCTGCGTACGGACGACAGGCGTTGGGACGCAAGCGTGAGTTTCTTTGCTTAGGCTGTGTGTGCACAGCACTTGCCCCAACAGTCTGTTAAGGCTATATGGGGGATCTTTGTCTTTGCGTGGGTGGCACCACGTTGGTGCAGTGGTTAGTGCACTGCGCTACGGACCTGGTGACCCGAGTTCGATACCCACTCACGGTCAACAACAGTGGTGAATATTTGAAGCGGTCCTGGACCCTCCCCTAAATTGACTCGGCCTCAAATGAGTACCTGGTGCGGTGTATAAATATTAACAGTGAGAAATCACAGGTGGTCGGGCGTGCTGCTGGCCACGCACCCCTTCGCGTACCACACCGACCTGCTCGTGTGCCATGCCGGCCTTCATAGGTGCTCGTTGACAGCACTTGCCCCAAAAGTTTGTTAAGGCTACACGGGGGATGTTTGTCTTTGCACGTGTACCATGTGTACGTGTAGCATGTGTGTGTGTACAAGGGTACCGTAGGAAGATGCCCTTGATCTTGGGGGTGGTGCTGAAGGCGCCCTCTGGGATGCTGTTGATGCGGTTGTTCTGCAGGTAGAGGTACTCGAGCGACGCCGGCAGAGACGAGGGCACCACGGTCAAGGCGTTGCTGGACAGGTCCAGCGTCTACAAAGACAACGATCCCCCGTGTAGCCTTAACAGACTGTTGGGGCAAGTGCTGTTAGCGAGCACCTATGAAGGCCGCCACGGCACACGGGCAGGTGGGTGGCCAATACCACGCACGGCCGCCTTTTCTCCCTTGTGGCGATGTTTACATACCACACCAGGTCGTCGTTCGAGGCTGAGTCGACCGAGGGGAGGCCCATGACGCATTCAGATAACCGACGCTAGTGTTGGCCATGAGCGCGAATCGAACTCGAGTCACGGGATTCGTCGAGCAGCACGCTAACGACTGCGCCACTGCTCTACACACCACAACGCACACACAGATGTAAGCACCTGCTAGACTGCTGTCGACTGGAGGCGGCACGATTAGTCACGAGGCAATTCTAATCGACTCAAGATTGTAGTCAACGACCGCCAACATCCTGTTTCTGAAGGCTGGAAACTCCGTACAAAGCTACGCCAGGGGTGAAGCTGCCGATGGTTATAATGTCATCACAAAAACCCACCCATCACCTCCCGTCCAGCGGCACGTATGCGGGGTATAAATATTGTCACTAAGGAGACACAGGCGGCCGGGCGTGTTCTTAGCCATAGTGCATAGGTGCTCGCTAACAGCATTTACCCCAACAGTGTTAAGGCTATAAGGAGGATCTTGGTCTTTGTACTTACCCCGACAATCTGTTAAAGGCTATACAGGGGATCTTTGTCTTTGTGTGCGTGCGTACCGTGAGGCTGGGGAGCTGTGCCCAAATGTTTGGCGCGATGGTTTTGCTCGCCAGGGCGTTGTCACTGAGCATCAGCTCCCGCAGTGCGGGTAGCCCCGACAGCGCCCCGTTCCCCAGCGCCGCCACGCGGTTCTGCTGGATCCGCAGAACCTGTGGGGGGGAGGGGTGGGGGGAAGGTGGGCAGGGGTGGGGGGTACACAGGGTGGTGGAGACGGGTCGTGGTGGTGGTGAGAAGAGCTGGGTGGTGTGGCTGAGCTGTCTAGCCTGCGCAACTGGAGGTGTACGGATGGGTGGTGTAGCTGCGGACGTCTGTTGGCGCCTCGGTGGAGCAAGCCCGGCACAGCTCCACTGAGGAGCCAAGTTCATTTTCCACCGCGGAAGCAGAGCCGTGCCGCTGGCGTCGACAAACGCGACGAACGCATCGAGCGGCGTGCAGATGATGCCGTGACGCCGTGCAGCTCACTTGGGTCACGCGCGACGGACGCGTCCGTTGTTATCCCTGACCTGGACTCCGCTTGGCCCCCCCCCCCCCCCACCCCGATGCAGATTCAGATGTCTTACGGAGCCAGCGGTGTATTCACACTTTGGTTCTGGTTCGGCTCAAAAAGCCAGTGAAAAACCACCTGGACCGCGAGAGGGCCTTGTGCCGTGTCGGCTCAGGTGCGCCAGCGGGTGCCTCGGTGGCGAGATGTGAACTACCCCGCCTGGGATATAGGAGGTCGTGGGTGGTGTTTATTTAGGAGTTTGCATGTTCTCCCCGTGGTCACGTAATTTTTCTCTGGGTCCTCCAGTTTTTCCCTCCACAGTTTAAAGTATTTGGCTGCAATCCACATCCATGAGTGTGATAAGCCCCTTCTTTGTGGCCAGGTAGCTTCTGAAAAAGAGCTATGCAGCTCAGTGGACCTCACCTGGTAATATAAACCATAGTGTAGGTTGTCGTTTTAGGAAGAGGAGTGGGCGTCCGTCCGTCTGTCTCTCTGTGGTCATGTGACACTCTCAAGTGCCCCCCCCCCCCACTCACCTCCAGGCTGGCGGGCAGCCCGACGGGCACGTGCGTCAGCTGATTGCCCGTGAGGTCGAGCGAGGTGAGCTTGGAGAGGCGCGTGAAGG